AAAAGATTTTCAAAACACTCGAAAAAGAATTTAGTACGTGATCGATACTTGATACCATTTAAATACTTATAAATAAAATAATAACGATTATTTATTGAATGCAGTGTGTAACTATTATTTTTATTAAAACTATTTATATTTAATTTGTTAACATAAAAAAAATAAAAATAAAATGTACAATTTTTTTTTTTTAAAAATAATTTTTATTTTTTTCGATATACCTAACGTACGGAGATAACCAAACTTTAATTATTATTTTTTCATGCTTATAAATATTTTTATAATAATTACTCACAAATTTTCAATGTTTTCATGTATATCTAAACAACGTTCTGAAAAAAAAAAAATTTCTTATTTCTTTACCTTTTTCGATCTACCTAATTTTTAAACGAAATTCACATTTCAACAAGCTAGACTAATTGACAATGGAATTAATTAGAACAATGGGATAATTACAGAAGGTATAATGATTGCATTTTATAAGTACAGTGAGCTCTCTATAAATGAACCCCCGGGGAATCAGCATTAGGGTGCATTTATAGAGGGTTCACTGTATTACATTATTATTTAAAATTGTGTAGAGTTTAAATTTTCAATTCTACCGTGGCAAATTCTCTTATTTCAAATCAAAGATATGATATCGAAAAATTAAAAATGATAAAATTCAATTCTTAGCCGAGTAAAATACCCTAATTATGCAAAAGGGAGTCAAACAAATAGTGGTCCTAATTTTGGAGGCAGTTTTTGTATTGGAGATAATGCAAAATTTTATTATGATTATAGTAATTATGAAAAAGATATCTGAGAGCTTTTGATATTTTTGATATTGAAGTTTTCAAAGCTAAAAAGAAACTACTTAGTTGTTTTTGAAATTATGGATATATATCAAATTATTGTTCTATTAATGATTATTATTTTAGTTGAATATTTATTTTGTATAGGTTACAAAGATGCTCTAAAGTAAAGAAAAAAGAACAGTTCAAGTAATACATTAAATTAATAAATATTTTAAAAAGAAATAATTTCAACGTGCTGTGCTTAATATTTAGTTATAACCAATTCAGAAAATTTTTATTTTATACAAATCTAAAAGAAGACAAGAAATCGAATTTATATCGAAATATGAATTGAACGAAAATTAAACTTCGAACTTTGTCAGTCTATAAATAATAACTCGATGGTTGGCACAATTTTATCTAAAAATAAAATCTTTTTTATACAATTTAGATTCTATTTGAATTATTTAATGTTAAAAATCAAAAAAAAATAAGATTTCTTTAAAAATTAAGGGGATTTAAAGATGTAAATCCTAATTTATAAATATTTCATATTTTTTTATTACTTTTTTTAAAAAAATCTATATTAATATATATATTTATTGCTAATACTTTTGTTAAATAAAATTGAGACGGGAATTTGCTAATATTTTGGATAATTGAGAACATTTAGGGGCAAAATTTTTTACTTTGTAAAATTATATTAAATACTTGGAAAGGAAAGTTCTAATATCAGATAATTTGGTTAGAAATTGTACCATTGAGTGGCGGATCAGCAATTAATAATGATATAATACATTGAAAAAGATACTTGCCAATACTTACAACAAAAGATCTCAGCAAACATTTCATGATGATTCTTGAAAGAAATTTTGAAATGTAAAATGGATCTTTGGTCGAAAAATCCTGTCTATTCATTCGATACATCAGGATATGGCGGAAGATCCATAAGCCGTAATTCCAAATGAATATATATCAGATAAGATGCTTCCTTTCTAAATAATATTCCAGGAGCATTTCCACTATATTTAATTCATGAATTTTACAAAAAATGTTATTTTTTTTTTAAATAGTATAATTTTTTCCCTTAAACTTTAGAATTGTTTTGTAATTGTGTGATTCCACATATTGGGACCGTATAAACGATGCTCCTTATTTTTAAGTGAATTTCTATTTTTTTAAATTATTACATCTTTTGTAAAAAAAAAATTATATAATTAATACTTTACCTCGTTTAAGAACTCTTGAAATTTTTTTTATTACCACTTCACGTCTATCAGATCTTTTCCATTGTTTATTTTCAAAATCCCAGCTAATCGATTGGTATAATTCCACCCTTTGTTATCTGTTTACCCTATTCACGAGGTATCCATTCTATTGCTTGATATTTATTTTCTGCATTTAATTAAGTATTGTGAATAAATTTATCTAATCTCTTAAATCATTTTCGAAATGGTTTATGTTGCATGGCGTCGTTCGCACCTAATTAAGGTTATTTTATGAAGTAAATAAAATTGTGAATTATGCACATCATTTGTTTGGAATTTTGTTTTTACGTATGACCCTCATTACGCTACACAATTCTTTATTTATTATCTTTTTATTTATAGTGATCTTTATTTATTTATTTAATTTAAAATCTTTATTTTGATAATCACATGTAATAAATTTTCAGAAAAATAATAATAATGAACATAATAAATGTATTTCCTTCAACTAAGTCTCAAATTCTTGGCGCATCAAGTGATAAAAAAAAAGGTAACTTCTGGCCGAAAATAAACATGTAGTCATTGTGATCATTGCGTGCATTACAGCATTATACTAACGATTGTCATGTGAGTTTTTCGAATGTTTTATAATGTAATGTTCATACCTTTATTGTTAATTTACACATAATATGTTCTTGTGATTTAATATCCTAAATGCGTTAAATGGCGTTAAATTAAAAAATGGATACATCCGTTAAAATTCATAGAGAATAGAGAAGGCTTGAATTTTCTATCCATCGTGAAATAAATATTTTCTATTAAGGAATGAATATTTTTCTGTTAAAGGCAAAAAGGTGCATTTCATGCAAATATATATTGTGGAAAATCTTTTTTAGAAAATATCAACAATTATTTTAAGCTCGTGATCTTTAAAATACTTTGTTTCAAAAGATCATTCTATTTGTTTCTTTATCGATATTTTATATTATTAATATTATTATAATGTATATTTTAACTTCGGTTGAATGAAAAAAAAAAAAACTCCAAGAAAAGTCACATTAATCAATTTTCAAAGTGTCAGACATAAAGTGCATGAAAGGTCTTTTGAACAATTATTATGAATATATTGTTTGATGATTTTGATCTAAAATTTAAATACACGCATATATTTAAAAAACATTAACGCGTTCATGATCATGCAAGTAATACAAATATGACCTTCCATTGGCGGTTCCTTAAAGAAATATATTTTAACAATAACTTTGACAAAAAAGATCAATACATAATTTTAGCACAAAGAATTTTTCTACGTTATATTATTACAGGAATTTGAACTCCTAAAACTAAACTAAATTGTTAAATATATTAAAGAATGATTAATGTAATGTTTCTACATAGAAGTTTCTTCAAGAATTACGACTAGAAAAAAAATTCAACAATATTTACAATATTTACGATATTTTTGGACATTGTTAAGAATTTCTTTATTGTATATTCATTAACAGAAATCACATTGTTTACGTTTTTCCCAACATGCCATGTTAACGTGGGCATAGATTCATAGAAAAATTTTATAGAATTGCTTTAAAGGAGAATCAAGAGAAATTTATGCACTTGAATTTAGAAGGAAATTAAGAAATAAACACCAGAAAATCTTTTTTTTTTTGGTTAGGACAATTATTTATAGAACAATAACAAGATTATCTATTACTCCTTGACATAGCAACAAATTCAAAGGTTCTAGAAACCAAAAGATGAAAGAAATGCCTTGTGAAAACCGATCCACATTTTATTATTCGAAAGAATGATTGTATAGAAAAAATTTCGAGATATGGAAATTTCTTCGGGTTATGATTATCTATTTAGAAAGAAAAAATATATGTGCATTATGTTACAATAATAATATTATTAGTATAGTAAATGTAAATTTACTAAATTTACTTTTAAATAGTTATATTGCATAAACTAAGTCATTTAATTTATTATTGTTAGTTGAAGGAAAATAAATAAATGTTGTACAAATAATCATTTTTTTGTGATAAATAATTTTTCTATATAGAAATGTACAACAAATATAAAGAGAAGGATGATCTCTGTTTATATCATCACGTTTTCCCTTATTTAATTTCCGTATTTGGACTAGGATAAGAATCTTAAGATTCAATATTCTTCTTTAAAGTTGCCCGCTGAGTAATAATGCTTCTCATATCATGATTAATTTAGGGATAGACACTCCGTATCTTAGAACATTATTTTTTTTTTGGATTTCCACACGGGAATATTCTTGTAAACGTTTTAATCCCAGGGTTATTCGGTTACACAGGCTATTTTTAAAATATGTTAAATATTCCATATATATTATACATATATATATTAAATAGAAAATTCTGTATAAATTCATTGAATCCGTGATTTTTATTTTTGAACCATGTGATGAGAATGGATTCCAGGCTTCATTATTTTCAATGTGTAGAAGACGTTTTTTTATTCGCGGACTTTGAAATCCGTATTTTGTATAATAATAATATTTAATGTATACTATATACTTTTATTGTATCATATCACGGGAGATCACAATCGTAAATATTATTTATAAAACGCTTCATTCATCCTTCATCTTCATCTGAATCGAACAAAATAAAGACCAAAGGTCATCTTACAATTTAAATGAATCTTATCAATTAAAAAATTAAAGTACAATCTGGCTTCTTAATAAAAACACTTTTATCGAATCTATATAAACTCAAAGGCTAAGACCTTTTCAAAAACTTTGTTGCTAATAACAACCCTAATATTCCAACATTTTTTCTTAATAAATTAAGACAAATTTTCTCTAATAGATATATATGTATATATGGTTGTTTCTTTAGCGAAACCATCTCTTTTCAATTTTTTATGATAAACCTTTACTGGCATTGTTAATATTTATAAAAAAAATCGTTACTTTATTTTATAAAATATTTTTTTTTATTAAAAATACTTTTTAGTATAATTCTCGTGTAAAAAGTAAAGAAGTATGGAAACGAAAAGTTTAACAACCTCAACTAAAACGAACACAAAAAAAAGGGAATTAAGAAAGGAAATACCTAAAGAATTAGATATTAATGATGTATACAATCCCAGATACGATGTTACCCAATTAATGTCTACTAGAAAAAAATTATTTGCTTCAAAAAAACCGCCTAGACCACCAAACAGTTATTTTTTGATAAAAAATTGTTACATGTTAGAATTACGCAGAATCGGTTTACGATTTACAATGCCTGAATTATGTATCCAGTCAAAGAAACTGTGGAAAGAAGCACCAAAAGAAGTCAAAAATCGTTACGAAGAAATGCAATCAAAAGCTCAAAGTATCCACAATGAATTATATCCTGGATATAAATTCAGACCAAGAAAAAAACAAACTTTTAAAATGCACACTTTTCCCCACGAAAATTCTGCTAATGTTACAACTTTTAGTTCCACGAATTATTTGAATAGGCAATTGGATAATTATTCAGAACCTGAAGTTAGATCTCTAGCATCTTCTAATTCTTCAGATTCCCCCAAAACTAATCATTCGCTGGCTGAATCTGAAATTTCTACTCCTACACATCCTGAATTCTTTAAATATTCTCCAACACTTTCAAATTTAAAAATGCACACTTTTCTTCACGAAAATTCTGCTCACACTTTTCCCCACGAAAATTCTGCTAATGTTACAACTTTTAGTTCCACGAATTATTTGAATAATTATTCAGAATCTGAAGTTAGATCTCTAGCATCTTCTAATTCTTCGGATTCCCCCAAAACCAATCATTCGCTGGATGAATCTGAAATTTCTACTCCTACACATCCTTATTCCTTTGAATATTCTCTACCACTTTCAAATCAATTTGACAAATTTTGTTTCGATAATAAACAAACAACTGGTTCATTACCAAATGAAGAATTTAATGAATCGTTAGAAAATTTTGACATTCAAAATCTTCAACACACACAATGTAGTATTTCGCACATTTATAATCAAAACGAAAATTTAAATGTTCCTATAGTCATAGATGCTACTTTTTTTGACCTAGAACAACATATCAATTTTGGATACATTGGATATGATCCTTTTGCACTTTATTAGAAAACCTGAATAAAATATTCATTTATTTATTATACCTTGTAATATATATCATTCGTTTCTTTTTCTTCCTTTTTCTTATTTTTTTATGCTATTTTCATATTTTGTAAATTTTTCAGTCGAACATCTATCCAATATCAAAAAAATATATATACATACTAATTTATTAAACTGTTTATAATCAAGAATGTTGGAACTTTCGTTATATTTTTTTTGTATTGCTTGCAAATTATTTCGATGTTGACTTTTTCTCGTTTTTTTATTTTATTTATTCTCTCGTTTATTCTTTACGAACGAAAAACCTTCAAGCTTACGGTAAACATCCTTTCAATATGATTAAAATTCTTTCGCTCCTTTTCTTTCTATTATTTCTATTTTGAACTATTTAGTTCTTTACCTCCTTTTTTTATGATTATTATAAGTTTTATAAAGTATTCCTTTATCTAAAATGATGCAATCGATTGCCGATCATAATATGTTATAATCGTATTCGTATTTTATTTTTGAATTTAAAAATAAACGTTATTTTATTTTATTTTAAAAATGATATGTTGTTGAAGTAAACTTTAATTCTAATTTTTAAACACTGCATTAATTTGCATGATTATATCAATATACAAATTGGGCGACACGCCCAAATGCCAAATCCCAAAAGGCAAAATGCATGTTGATTTTTATTAGGCAACACGCGAGATTTTCCCCGTATGAGTGTAAATTAATATTTATCTACATTCTAAGACAATCAAAAAAAAAAGACAATAGTTTATTCTTATTAATTTAGTTCGCTCAAGTTTCAGATTGTTCTTTGAAACGTTTCTATGAACTTTGAGAAAACTCGGAATTCTTAAATAAAATGGAAATTTCTATAACCAATTTTTTCCAATTTATTATTAATCTAGAAGGTCCTTGCATTTTATTTTTTTTTGTTTGAACAACCTAATTAATATTTAAAACTTGATATTTGTTATTATAAGACTTCTGTAGAATAAATTTAACTAACTTTACAAACAATGAAAAAATGATAAGATGAAAATTTTCTTTTTTAACAATTATTTATGTTAAAAATAGAATTACCGTAACACTATAATTTTGAATTGTACATATGTAATATTATTGGTTAAGGAAATTTTTAAGTAAATTATTGCCGTATGCTTAAAAATAATTTCACTATCTATATGTAGATGTGATTACGCAAACACGGTGAAAAATTAAATAAAACAATTGTACAACTGATTATTATGAACTTATTATCTTAAATTCATTATCTTCAGTCAGGGTTGTTGTACACTATGCTTTTCGAAGTGCATTAAAAATATTAGTACGAAAAAAAAAGTCGGAAATCCCAACAACATGGAATAGGTTTTCATTTTGCTATATACCAAATCATTCACAATTTCAAGTGGGTTACTTAGTGGTATTTTAGATCTTCACTTTCCATCAGACGATGTACATGCCAAACAAATTGTTGTTACTTTAACAGGCAAGGAGTACGTTGAATAGAAAGCAAATTATTATGTAACTGTTAAAGCCAGAAGTGATCTAATCTCTCAAGGTATATGCGTTTGGCAAAGCCCTAATAATACTTATCAAAAGATTAATGAATTACAACTTCCTTTTCAATTTGAATTGTCTCGTTATTTACCCGCTTCTGTGAAATTTGCTGAAGAAGAATCTAAAATTTCTTACGACTTAGAAGCAATCATCAAACAAAAATCAAATATATCGAAATTTCGTGGCCCAACGAAATCTATTAAAATTCGTTGTCCTAACCAGATATTCTTTACTTCCAACAATTCCAACTCCAACCCAATTTTCAAATTATGATGACCCTTCTTATGCTGTGTCTCGAGGAATTGGGTTTTCCGTGTCAATAGAGCACAATTTGTTTAGCCAATTAGTATTGATTTTGGATTGGTTTTTCTTAAACTTGATTTAGAAATTAAAGAAGTAATTTTAGGAGTAAAGCAATGTATCAGGTTTCTTGCAAGTGAAGGAATAGAGAGAAGGTCAAAAAATATATTTTTAAAAGAGTTATTAAATGGATTATAATAATGAATATAAAATTTGAAATAATGACACAATACTTAATTCTGTTAGACATAGTATCGATAGGTGTTTATCATAAAATTAAATTTTGGTTTTAAAAGGATATTAAAATTGAAAATATGATTAACAAGATTTAATGTAAAATATATTTGACTAATGTGTTTTTATTTTTATTTTTTTTTTTTTATTATTTCTTTCTTGATATCATTTTTAATAAAAGACAAATTATTATTTTTTTAATTCAGAACACTCCAACTACAATATAAAGATCTAATAAAATTAGTTCACTTTCGTCTCCTTTGTTTAGTGATTTCTTGGTTCTGAATTTTGAACAATGTTAATACTAATGGGCAATTTGTTATAAAACGGACTAATTGGTACCAGCTACACATATTTATTCATTAGCCTCCCATCACCTGGAAATCATGTGTTTTATTTTTATTGGTTGATAATCACAAACCCAATCTGAATTGTTAAAGATAAATCATGGGGTATACCCAATCTAATTTTGACAATAACATTACACTTTTAAATGTTTATTTTTGGACTAATTGAAAAAATTTAACAATGACAAATGTATTTTTTGTCAGTCACACGCATAAATCTAAACCTTTTATATTAACTCCAGATTAACTAAATTAAGGCAGTCAAAGAACGTCACATTTTTTTAAATATCATAATTTCAAAAAAAAAAGTTCCAAAAAATGTCGCAAGTATTAAGACTTCCTGAAGAATTGTACAAAAAATATAGTGAAAGCTATCATTTTTCTATAAACCAAATCATTTACAATTTCAAGAGGGTTACTTAGGCATCACCGAATCATTTGTATCCGGTATTTTAGATCTTCACTTTCCATTAGACGATCCTGTATATGCCAAACAGATTGTTGGCACTTTAATAAGCAATGAATGGGAAAGAAGAAGTAAATTAATAACTCAAAATATCGTTTGGCGAAGCCCTAGTAATACCTATCAAAAGATTAATGAATTACAACTTCTTTTTCAACTTGAATTGCCTAATTATCTACCCTCTTCCGTATTCGAAATTTCTTACGACTTAAAAGCAATCATCAAACGAAAATCCAGTATATTGAATTTTCGTGGTTCAACGAAATCCATTATAATTCGTTGTCCAATAACCAGATATTCTTTACTTCCAACAATTCCAACTCTAACCCAATTCTCAAATTATGATGACCCTTCTGCTGTCTCTCGAGGAATTGGGTTTTTCGTGTTAATAGAGCATAATGAGTTTAGTCAATTAATACCAATTAGTATTGATTTTGGATTGATTTTTTATAAACTTGATTTAGAAATTAAAGAAGTAATGTTAGGAGTAAAGCAATGTATCATTATTGAAGGTGAAGAAACAGGGATAATGAAAAATGCATATATTTTTAAAAGATTTATTAAATGTGATGAAATTAAAAATAGATTAGATCATAATAATGAATATAAATCTAATGTAAGATTTGAAATTCCTCCACAAAATGACACAAAACTTCTTGATTGGCGCGGGGCTCGACTTAGCGTTAATCATAGTCATTTAAAAATTTCCCATAAAATTAAATTCAAAGTAAAATTTGGTTTTTTTGGAGGAAAAGATATTAAATGGAAAAAAGATGTTAAAATTGAAAATATGATGAAATGGATTTAATGTAAAATATACATTTGACTGTTTATTTTTATTTTTTATTATTTATGACTTTCTTTCACAATATTTTTAATAAAAGATAAACTTATTTGGTTTTTATTTATTTAACCTTTATTACTACAGATTATTTCATTTTTAAAAATCGAATGCACATTCAGAGTGAAGAATCTAAATAATAATAAAATGTCTAGTAAAATAAGAGCACCCCAATAAATTTCCATTTTATTTCTTCTTGTCCTTCCTGTTACTACTGACCATGAAACTCCTTTGCTTAGTATTTTCTTTGTTCTGAATTTGAACAATGTTAATATTAATGTTATAATTTGAAAACGAGCCTAATTGGTACAAACAGATTGTCTACACATATTTTTTCATTATATTTTCAAGCCTCCCATCCAATTCTTCCTTTAATTTTGATCAATGCCTAGTTAAATATGTCGGGAACCCAATCTGAATTGTGTATTTTATGATTTAGAATGTTGTTAGCACTTTAAATATTTATTGTCAAAGGTTCTCCTGCTTGTTTTGTTCGAATTAGCGAAAATTAGTGGATTAATCATAATGACATTTTGGGAATATAATTTTGCATAAATCTATTACTCGCCCGAATTAACTAATCAAAGAAAGTCGCATTTTTTTTAAAGTATCATTCTAAAAAATGTCGCAAGTATTAAGATCTCCTAAAGAATTGTACGTACAAAACAGATAGAAATTTTCATTTTTACTATACACCGGATCATTCACAATTCAAGTGGGTTACTTAGTTCATATTTGATATTTTAGATCTTCACTTTCCATTAGAGTCGATAGTGACATTCAACGTTTAAGCAGTCAATATGTCTAAATAAACATCAAATTACTAAATATATGTAAAAATAAATGAGTCTAAATATATATCAAAAGTCTACAGGTCTAAGCGTATACCAAAATTTTTTTTGCATATACGTATATGACGTAAGTAAATAATCAAATGATATAAAACTTAAAATGCCCTTTAAGAAATTTAAGAAATAACAACTTTATTTATTGATTTATCATTAGAACTAATTAACACATATTGTGGCGATCCAAATTGGTAATCAGGTGAAATGTCACGGGGGATGATAAATTGTGTCACTAGATGAACATTCA